TTTTATAATTTTTTTTCTTTTTCTCATTCTCTCACATTCAGTAATCCTTTGCATCTTAGCAGCTTTATTGCCTTGCTTGGGGGTGAAATGATTTTTAAAAGATTTTTTTTCAAAATGATCCTCATATTTTTCTGAATAAATATCAAAATTTAGTATTCTTTTTTTTAAAAAAAAAAAAAAAAAAATAGAAAGAAAAAAGATAAGGTCACATTCTAGTCATGATTACCTGGTCAACCCATTAAGTGTTAAAATTGAGGCCTGTTGATTATAATTTTCCAGACAGAACAGTAACTTCAATTTTTAGGGAAATTAATGAAGCACTTATTGTTTTACTTTTAATTTGTCTAACTTGAAACTGATTTTAAATAGCATGTATAAAAAAAAAATGGTTGAGAGAAAAGTAAGAAAGAAAAAAAAAATCTAAAAAATATTTAGAAAATTATTTCAGTCCTTGCTTTCCTTTTGACGATTGGAACGATGGATGAAGGGCATTTTTTGATAGATAAAAATAAAAATTATCTTTTGCTTCCAATGAGGGACCACTGTATTTGTGAAGTACTTTCCATATTTATTTGTTCATCATACTTATTATAAAACCCAGGTTGTGTGTGTGTGTGTGTCTGTTCGTTTATATATTGGATCAGATTTCGCAGGTTCGACATTTTTCAACAAGATGTATTGATTTCAACAAAACTTCATCAGGACTATTACATAAATAACTGCAGCAAAAATGGTAAATTACCTTCACTGCGGAAAAAATTGGGTGGTTCTGACAGTACCAGAAAAATTGAAACAAAAAACAATTGACATAAGATTTTTGCATGAAATCAATAAGTAAACACGATTAAGACAAAAGGCATCACACTCGATCGAATCTTGTTGCAAGAATGAAAGAGGGACAACTCATATCAAATTATACTTATTATAAAACCCAGGTTTTGTTTGTGTGTGTGTGTGTGTTCCTTTATATATGGGATCGGATTTCACTAATGACGCATTTTTCAACCGATTTCAACAAAACTTCACCTTTTTTTTGGCAGGTAGTGTTTCTTATTGTCTTGCACACTTTTTTCTATATTTTTAGAATTCAAAATGCTTTAAAAATTCAATTTACAAGACAATTGTTTATAATAAAATTGAAAGATTCTATTAAATCGATAGACTCATAACGATTGAAAACAATGTTTTTATTTGAGTTTGGGTTTGACCAATTCGTAAAAAAAAAAAAAAAAAAGAAAAAACTAATTAAGACGTGTGTCCGTCAACCTTAAACAATAATCTTTATCAATTTTATTTTTCAGTCTTTATGATGGTCGATACTTGATCTATCTCTTGACGCCCTACGAAACTGTTACATCCGGAGGAACTTTTTCAACCGATGGCGGCAATGCCAGGCTCTACTGCTAGTCATCAATAAACCAGGAGTTGTGATCTGATAATTGATTTCATTTTCATCAGATGATAAATCTAAGCTCTTTAATAACAATAACCAGCTTTGCCAACTTAAGGGAAGAGGACATCTGAAATTACCCTCTTGGATTAAATAGCTTTTGGGTACTGATTGGTTGAGAGGAAAAGAATACCTCTTTGATGTCATGACTCAGACTTGATTGAATTTCTATCAATCACATTTGAATTGACTTAGTTATATGTGGTTGGAGGGAAACTCTACAGAAGTTCCTATTATCCAGAGTAGGGCCATAGAACAACAATGACAGAAATTCAGATTATCTGCAGTTAATAGATTAAGTCAGAGATTCCCGGAATGGTCTTTTTTTAGACTTTATATTAAACAAGACATTTACGGCAAAATGAAAAAAATTGAAAGATTTAAAAATATGCTAAAAAAAAAGAGTCAACTTTGAAGGTTAAAGGAGATAACATCTTCTGTCTTAATTCCAATTTGAATTCAGAACATTATCATTTCTCACATTCATAACTCTCATCTAGCAGCTTAATTTGCAAACCCTAGATTTTTTTCAAAATTCCTATATTCTTAAATACTTGATATAATGCAAAAGTATCTACAATGATAAAACTGGACAATAATTATTTTTATAATCATTTATACTGGGACTAAAATAGCATGTATAAAAAAAAACAATGAGACAAAAAAAAAAAAATCTAAAAAAATATAGAAAATTAACATTTTGAAATCCTGTTTATTTTTGGCATATGAATTTTTTAAAACTGTTTCTAAATTTTTGATGGTCTTTCAATCATTTTGCTTCACCTGCTATCCTCTTCAGCTGCACCTATGAGATGCATCACACTGAATGAAAGAGGACAAATTAAGTATTTAGTTTTTATAAATAAACAACTTTGGAAGAACAAAATCACCTTTTTTTTTGCCTAGTGCTGTCTCCATAAGAAAATCAATTTAAAGCTACTTTTCTTTATATCAATGAAGAGTAAACATTACACATCTTAATCTGAGATAAACCCACATTCAGGAAAACGGATTTGCAATTAACCTTTTAAGATAGCAAAAACAAGCACTTTCCAGCCAAAACAGACTCCAAAAGTGTCTCCATGTCCTTGTAGGGGATGAATTATTTTCTACCCTACAACTTCTTTCCCCACAGACAAAAGATTACTAGCCATTTGCTACTCTATTGCTATTTCTATAGAAAGCATTCAGGCAAGATATGTTCCTTAGTTTCACCAGTTCTAACCTTAACAGGTTGTGGTTATTTTTTTGTAAATGTTGTCATATCTATCATTGATAAGACAAGAAGTGTTGAAATAAAATGGCTATTTTTGTGGCGATTTTATAACATGCTCTTCTTATAATTTTCGAATAAATTATATTTGCTCTCAGGAAAACTTTTACCTTTTAAGATAGCTCTCTTATAAGAATAGTATTTTTGGTTATTGAATTTATTCCGTATACAAATTTTATACTATGGGCTATATATATATATATATATATATATGTTCTAGTTTACCAGGGGATATATATATATATATATATATATCTATATTATAAGACAAGAAGTGTTGAAAATAAAATGGCTATTTTATATTTATATATATATATATATATAAATTATATTTGCTCTACTTTGTATTGGGGATATATATATATATATATATATATATATATATATATATATATATATATATATATGGCTGCAAAGGACATATACAGTAAGTTGTGTTGGACTTCACCACATAAATTTAACTTTATATTAGGAAACAGGACCAACGCAGAAAAGGATAAGCAAAAGACATTGTTACACATAAAATATCTATTTAACAAGATGTACAATATCAAACAACAATGTGAAAGAAAGCATGCATTTAAGTAAGAAAAGGTTGAATAAAACAAGAGTTGTCTCTCTTTAACTGTTATTTTAGTATTTCAAAGTTCACTGGAAGAATGTTTATGAGAGTTTCTTATAATGACTGTTCTTGAAAGATTTGTTATGTTAGAAAAAGATTATGTGAGTATATACAAGGTATGTTCAGCATGTGAGTGGTGTGTGAAAGTGAAAAAGTTGGTGCATGATTTCAACTGTCAGGGATTCATTTGGCAGCTGAATTCTCACTAATTAGCTAAAAAAAAAAATTCTTGCTTAAATAAGTGACTATAGGCTCCAAATTGCTGCATGGGAAGAATTATTCTTCACGTGTGGACTATCTGATTGGTTGGCATCGGCCAATCAGTGAGTGAACTTTGGGGAGACTTAACAAAGCTTCTCTGACCTGTTTCTCCCAAAAGTGCACAAAACTGACTACATAAAAATAGAGCGATTACAAAATTGTCACATTGCTGAGATTTGTAAATTGTCTATAATAACGTAGTGGTGATTTACCAATGAATGTTTGGCATTGTATGTGATTTGCATTTTTGTACGTATGCATGAGGATAATAGATCGGCAGAAAGTATTATGATAGTGATTTTAGAATTCCTTTAAATCATGAAAATCATTTTTAATATTTTCATAGTTATTCTTATAATAGATTCATTATAAGTTTTAAAGTAGACCTTCAAATGACCCTCTGCAGGTTTTGAATTCAGAGTTGTCCTTCTCCTAGACCAATTGCCATCCAAGGCTATAGAACCCAGTTTGTCCTGCTATTTACCTATAGCTGGAGGGAGAAGAGGATTCATACCTTTCCCAAAGGTATTAGCACATAAGTGAATGTAATGGATTCGACTTTTGTTGAACTCGGCTCTCAATTCCTCAATCCGAGCTGCTATCCACTACTCCACTGTGCCATACACACATATATATATATATATATATATATATATATATATATATATATATATATGCACACATACTTATGTGTCTATTATAAAAATTTTATAAGAATATAATGTAATGCAATTAAAAGATGGAAATAAAATTAAAAATAATAAAATAAACTAAATTTGTTTATTGCTTTTTATTTTCTTTTGAGGGGAAAATATAAGAATTTATATAAAAAAAAATTTAAATTAAATAAGTGATTAATAAAAAGGTGAAAATGAAAAATAAATGTTATAATAGACTCAGTTTCTTTATTACACTTGCTTTTAAGTGAAGTGCTTCAAATAATTAAAAGCCAGATGGTTCGTAAAAAAGTAACCAATAAATTTGATGTCTCACATTACAAAAATAAAAATAAAAAAAATAACAAAAATATATAGTCTTTGGATTTTTCAGCCAATGAGGAGAGTAACTTTCTTCTATGCAAATTAAAATTTGGGACTAGTTTGGAATTGATTTTGAGCCTACATAAGGAGTTGAATCAGATGTAAAAATTAGGTGGAAGGGCAGAAGGATTAAAAGGATTTTGGCAATCACAAGAAAATAATCTAGAGATTTGTTTGTCAAAAATTACTGAAATAAGAAAGAATTTCACTGTTACCAGTGAATAAACTCAGCCATTTCTTCCAAAAGAAGAAAAAGAAGCAGAAGCTAAAAGAAACGAAGAAAGAAAAGTGAAAAATTCCCAAAATAAAAAAGAATTTTCATTGTCACCTGTGTAGGAATTAGGCTGTTTCTTACTAAAGTAGTAAGAAGCAAAAAGAAGCTAAAAGAAACAAAAAGAAGCTAAAAGAAACTAAAAGAAACAAAAAGAAGCTAAAAGAAACCAAAAAAAAAAAAGAATTAAAAGAGCAAAAAGAAAAAAAGAAACCAAAGAAGCAAAAGAAGCTTAAAAGAAACCAAAGAAGCAGAAAGAAGCTAAAAGAACCAAAGAAGCAGAAAGAAGCTAAAAGAAACCAAAGAAGCAGTTTCAAAAAGAAACCAAAGAAGCAGAAAGAAGCTAAAAGAAACCAAAAGAAGCAGAAAGCTAAAAGAAACCAAAAGAAGCAAAAGAAGCTAAAAAGAAACCAAAAGAAGCAGAAAGAAGCTAAAAAGAAACCAAAAGAAGCTAAAAGAAACCAAAAGAAGCTAAAAGAAACCAAAAGAAAAAGAAACAAAAGAAGCTAAAAGAAAAAAGAAGCAGAAAGAAGCTAAAAAAAAGAAACAAAAAGAAGCAGAAAGAAGTTTTAAAAGAAACAAAAGAAACAAAAAGAAGCTAAAAGAAACAAAAAGAAGCAGAAAGAAGCTAAAAGAAACAAAAAGAAGCAGAAAGAAGCTAAAAGAAACAAAAAGAAGCAGAAAGAAGCTAAAAGAAACAAAAAGAAGCAGAAAGAAGCTAAAAGAAACAAAAAGAAGCAGAAAGAAGCTAAAAGAAACCAAAGAAGCAGAAAGAAGCTAAAAGAAACCAAAGAAGCAGAAAGAAGCTAAAAGAAACCAAAGAAGCAGAAAAAGCTAAAAGAAACCAAAAAAAGCTAAAAGAAACCAAAAGAAAAGAATAAAAAAAAAGAAACAGAAAAAGCTAAAAAGAAACCAAAGAAAGAAAGAAGCAAAAAAGAAACCAAAAGAAGCAGAAAGAAGCTAAAAGAAACTAAAGAAAGAAAGAACTAAAAGAAAAAAGAAGCAGAAAGAAGCTAAAAGAAACAAAAAAGAAGCTAAAAGAAACAAAAAAGAAGCAGAAAGAAGCAAAGAAAAAAAAAGAAGCAAAAGAAGCTAAAAGAAACAAAAAAGAAAAGAAAGAAAAAAGAAACAGAAAAAGCTAAAAGCAAAAAGAAACCAAAGAAAAAGAAGCAAAAGAAACAAAAAGAAACAAAAAAGAAGCTTAAAAGAAACAAAAAGAAAAGAAGCTAAAAGAAACCAAAAGAAGCAGAAAAAGCTAAAAGAAACAAAAAGAAGCAGAAAGAAGCTAAAAAGAAACAAAAGAAACTAAAAGAAACAAAAGAAGCAGAAAGAAGCTAAAAGAAAAAAAGAAGCAGAAAGAAGCTAAAAGAAACAAAAAGAAGCAGAAAGAAGCCAAAGAAAACAAAAGAAGCAGAAAGAAGAAGAAAGAAAAAAGAAACCAAAAAAGAAGCAGAAAGAAAGAAAAACTAAAAGAAACCAAAGAAGCAGAAAGAAGCTAAAAGAAACCAAAGAAGCAGAAAGAAGCTAAAAGAAACCAAAGAAGCAGAAAGAAGCTAAAAGAAACCAAAGAAGCAGAAAGAAGCTAAAAGAAACCAAAGAAGCAGAAAGAAGCTAAAAGAAACCAAAGAAACAAAACTAAAAGAAACCAAAGAAGCTAAAAGAAACCAAAGAAACAAAAAAAAAGCTAAAAGAAACCAAAGAAAAAAAGAAGCCAAAAGAAACCAAAGAAGCAGAAAGAAGCTAAAAGAAACCAAAGAAACAAAAAGAAGCTAAAAGAAACCAAAGAAACAAAAAGAAGCTAAAAGAAACCAAAGAAGCAGAAGCTAAAAGAAACAAGAAAAATTCCTGAACTGAATTATTGAATAGTTGTTTAAAAAAAATACAAGATTTATGTTGATATTATTGCCATTCTTCTTGAGAACAAATTTGACTCCGATGAAACTGCCAACCTTCTCAGTTCTACATTTAAAGAAATATGTGAACCTTTTTTTTTTAAAGAAAATTCATTGTTTAAACATTTGTTTTGAAAGGAATTGTATTGTTTCATCTTAAAAGATTTTTTGATTGCTGAAAGTATTTAATTAAATGAAAATTTTGTTGAAAAAAATTTATATAAGCTTCTATGAGTGTAACATTTTAATTTTTGAACTGGTTATCTTGCCTTGATAATAATAAGGTGCACAAAAGTTTTCCTTTCTATATTTTGTATTCTGTTTGCTTGCTTATCAATAAATGTAAATTTCATTCAAGTTTTACTCGAGAGTTTTGAGTCTTGTTTTTGTGCCGGCACCTTATAAATAATCAGGATAAGAGACATGACATTTTTTTCTCCCACACTCTCTCCAGCAAAAAAAAAAAAAAAAAAAAAACTCCTTTTACTATGTGTGTACAGGAATCTCTTTATTAGTGTGGCTAATGTGTACATTAAAAATGCACTAATAAAAAATGCATTAATTAAATATAAACAAAATAATTACCTATTTTCCATTTTTAAATTTTAGAAAATTTTTAATTAATTGGTAACTATACAAAAACAATTATCAGCTACTATGGTTAAACTGAAGAATGTTTTACCATACTAATTGATCATTATGCTTGCACTAATTGAAAACATTAATCGAGGGATTCTTGTATTATCTCCTAAATGTGTACAAGAAAATAAAAGAAGATATTAGACATTAATGATTATGGTAATATGACAGTCGTTCTGTCTAAAGTCATACCAATTTCTAATTTAGGTCTGAATTTCTGGAATGAGGACTTATTCGTATTCTGGCTAAGATCTGACATCTAACCCACGAGTCTCTACACTTTTCTTTGGGTGCCATTTAATCCAATTAACCTTCAGGGAATCAGTTCAAAATTGCCACAAGTTTACCTGAATCAAAAGACACCTGAAGAAAGTCAGAGAACCTAACAGATTCTTCAAGAGATGTCAAAGCTGGAGAGTTTAACTCCAGCCCATATGTGGCAGCAATACTCCATTTTTGGTCTGATCTGTCTCTTCACTGATGGATCATATATACAAGTTCTACAAGAAGTCTGGAGTGAGCTTATAGACATCCCAGGCAAGAGGCCTCATTAAGAGTACAACCATTCATCATGACTCGAAAAAACACAAGGTCTGCTCCAAGATTATGAAATGTTACTAGCTTCTCTTAAATCTCCTACCTCCCTCTTCTATCATCTTAATGTAATCAGCTTTCATTTTCTTTTATGGGCTTTGTCCCTTTAGAACATTGGCAATCATGGCCCTCCACAACTTCCTATCCCATGCAGCAGTTGGGTTTGTACTCTAACTATCCTGTTCATGTTCCGTCAATCATTTACACAAGCTTATCCAACAGTAATTATCATTACCAAAACCAAATTACTCCTTTTTCAATGTATGTAGGCTTATGACTACATCATGGTGAAATACTGATTCTCAAAGTTAAGAAATGCCAAATCTGGTCAGTACCTAGGTGGGTGACTGCTTGTGAATACTAGGTGCTGTAAGCTTGGATGTGCAAGTAGGGTACATGCACTTGAGAGCTGGTCCGAGTCCCAATAAACATTCAAAGGACAGAGCCTCATTGAAAGTCCAACTGTTCATTATGATGGGAGAAAACTTGGGGTCTGCTCTGGGGTGATTAAATGTTACTAGCTTAGTTTTGGAGGTCTTCAATGTTACAAGCTAATTCTTTCTCTATTGGGCTGTGCAAGCAAGATCAGTAGAGAGATCAGCTGTCAAGCTCTGGTCATCTACATTTTGGGAGGTACACCCATAAAGCATGTTATTGCCTGACGATATATTTACTAATGATCTGAGAACATTCTAGGGCAGATCATTAATATAAAGCAGAAAAGGGTTAGGCCCAAGGAGAGAACCTTGGTAAATACCTGCATTGATTTCTCAGGCTTCAGAGGACTGGCTCTTGACGACCACCTTAACCTTCATGGACCTATCGGATATGAAAGACTCAATAATTGGTTTGGTTTATTTTGTTTTACGGCATATCAACACTTCAATGGGTTATTTAATGCCGACAACATTTTTAGGATAGAGTCATATGAACAGAGCATGTATTCTTTGGTTTAGATTGGTTTGGTTTATTTTGTTTAACGGCATATCAACCTCAATGGGTTATGTAATGCTGACAAAAATTTTTTATTGCTGGTAATATTTTGTTTTATCAAAAATCATTTTCTGGTAATATATTTCCTTCAAAATTGTATCGCTGGTATTAGTTAACTATTTGCCCATATCTGGGACCCTAACAGGTGATACCACCCTGGGTCAGGGTGGACCTGGGAACACCAGCAATTAAGAGATGATTCCACGCTCCTCAAAACCACCTGACCAGAGGCCTTGCTACTGGACATAGTTTAACGTCTTATCCAGGATGTGGATGTAGTTTAACATCTTACCCAGGACGACTCAATAATTGGGAAAATTCTTCAAGAGATGTCATAGCTAGAGAGTTTGTGTGACAACTCCCTATGCCACTCCTTGTCAAAATAAAATCTATATGTTCACTTTCATATGTTTGAAAGTGAACAAAATTGAATCATTGCCTTTTAAAAAAAATAAATTTTGCTGAGGGAGTCAAAAGTATAGACAGTAATACTGGTGTCAAAGGAATAACCATCTTTTTGACACTATTTTTTTTTCTCAGCATGAAGGATAAACATTGCTACTGTTCTTTATGAGTATAGTACCAAGCTCTTCAAACTGTACTGCACAATGCCACGAAGTGAAAATTGCATTAAGTTGTAATAAAAAAATATCATGTTTCGGTGTGCACATAAAAGTCTGAACATCTCGACTGAACATTACAACCAAGTGTTGCAAAGTGAAAGAGAATGAGTAGACTTCAATGAGGAGAAAGGACAATAAAAAAACAGGATTCAGGAAGATAGCGATAGACATTGCATTTAAATTTTTGAATTACTTAACCTTTTATAGATCAATCATACAAGCATATTAATCTCTTTAGTATTTTCTGTTACTGCATTTTTACAAGTTAGTGGGGATCGCCCTTCTCCCTAAATTCAGGGCATTAAAAATGCAGTAGAAATCTCTATTATGACCTTTTGAAGATCAGTAAATCTATCATGTTCACATCATCTTTGCTGGGTTTTGCTTTGTTATTCTTACACAGTTGCAGATTCTGCCTTTCTTTATCAAATTGCATATATATAGCAACAATGCCAAGGATAAAAAAAAGTATAGAACTGACATTTAAATCCAAGATGTTCACTTTTCTGCAGAAGTAGTGGTGGTTCTTCTATAGAATCCTGCCATTCCAATCTCCAAGAATCTAGAATAACATCTTTAGTGAGTATAAAAGAAGTGCTGCTGATTCGTCAAAACTGCTTCTAACTGCTGAACTTGTTTAACTACCAACTTACCAGTGATAGAATTTCCTGCAATGAAAACCTATCAGAGTCATCATATACACTTAACAAGGAAATGAATGTAGAATTTAAGGTTGGGTTGGGGAGGTAAATAAGTCAACAGCTTGACATTCAGTTAACTGATTTTTGATCTTAAGTTTTCACTGTATAATGTTCCATTAAGTGTATCGACAAAGAAGATAATGTTGAAAAATAAGTATTTATTTTATAAAATGAATACTTTTCTTATGAGACTGCAAATATATGTGGGAGCACTGAAAAGTTTTCTGCCTAGTTAATATTTTGGAAAGTTGGTTGAATCCCAAAACTTTTCAGCATCCCTGTGTGTGTTATCATTTCACACCAATGCCACTAAGACATCAGGTGTTGCTGAGAGTGAAAGAGAATGAGAAGACTTTAGTGAGAAGAAAAGACAATAAAAGAACAGGTTCAAGAAGATGGAAGATGGCGATAATGCCACCAAGATGCAAGAGGTTATTGGGAGTGAAAGAGAACGAGAAGACTTTACTGAGGAGAAAGGACAATAAAAGAACAGATTTCAGGAAGACAGAAAATGGCGATAATGCCACCAAGACGCAAGGGGTTACTGGGAGTGAAAGAGAATGAGAAGACTTTAGTGAGGAGAAAAGACAATAAAAGAACAGGGTTCAAGAAGATGAAAGATGGCGATATTGCCACTAAGATGCAAGAGGTTATTGGGAGTGAAAGAGAATGAGAAGGAGAAGAGAGAGAAAGAACAATAAAAGAACCGATTTCAAAAAGACAAAAGATGGTGATTGATGTTGCATTTAAATCTTCTGAAGAACCCATAGGTGGTAGGGAAACCAGAAGAGTTTTTACAGGTGAGAAATGTGAGAAAAGAAACAATTAGAATAGAACTTATAGTTACATTTACCTAATTCAACACTAAAACAATGAGACCTAATTGCCAATCTAGTAGTATGTTTAATTTCATGTGGTTGGAATACCAAGAAGGAGATATCATTAGAACAATTGCCATGAAGATATTTATGGGAAAGATAGAGGGAAGCCACATCACATCAGTAAGAAAATGACTGAAGTCAAAAGGTGTGTGTGTATATAAGAAATCCAAATTTACCTCATTCTAATAGCTACTTCAGCCAACAAGAAGACCTATATTAGCATTATCAACTCAGAAGTACTTCTGAGCTGACAATGCCAATATAGGTATTCTTGGTTGAAATAGCTATTAGAATGAGGTAAATTTGGATTTCTATTCTATGTAATTTATATGCTCTGTTATAATAAATACATTGAGCTCTTTTTATGGATTAGTTTTAATATTTTATATTATTAGGATTCACTTGGATTATATACCAACAGATTATTACCTGTGTGTTTGTGAGTA